TAAGTATAATAAATTCATATAATCAAAACTAAAATAAAAATCTATAAAAATATGTGAATTGTGTCCAAAAAAATGTTTTAAATAGTAATTGTGTCCAATGTCCAAATCCCAAATTTTGCACCTTGATGCAGTTAGAAGGAAATCAATCCTAGTTATTCTGAAATACCTCAAAATAAAAGAAAAGAAAAATCCATAGTGCATTATCTTTTACATATATATCACTCCACTCAGTGCTCAACACAAAAATCACTCTTAAATTGTGCAAAAAAAAAAAAAAAAAACTTATACAAATATTCTTTTAATTTATATAAAATTCAAACCCAAAAAGTGAAAACTCAGTGATCACTATATAACCACACACTTTGTGATTAACCACTTCAATTCCATAAAGACACTCTGTGCACAACCCCTAGTGAATAGTGATACTAGGTACTAGTACCCTTTTTTTATTCCAGCCACAAGTGATACCAGGTACTATTACCCTTTTATAGTTGTTTTCAGGCATGGGCTATCAAAAGTACTTCTTCCTTTCCAATGCTTTACTTCAAGGGCAATCCTCCAATATCCTCATGAAAATAAACAGGCTCTTAGGCAGAATCCATATTAGAGGAACAAATTTAATCCAAACTTACATAAAAGAAAGCAGAATCCGGCTCCCAGCATTACTCCTTCAATGGCTCTTTACAAACATTTGGTAAACCACATGTACACCACCAAAAAGATGGCCGCAGCGACACTTCCAGTTTGGCGTGCGTGCGTCTTGACGTCACTCCCCTAACGTGTTTCGTCACTTCCGGACTTCATCTGAAGGGATTTGAATTTTATATAAATTAAAAGAATATTTGTATAAGTATTTTTTTTTTTTTGCACAATTTAAGAGTGATTTTTGTGTTGAGCACTGAGTGGAGTGATATATATGTAAAAGATAATGCACTATGGATTTTTCTTTTCTTTTATTTTGAGGTATTTAAGAATATCTAGGATTGATTTCCTTCTAACTGCATCAAAGTGGAAAATTTGGGATTTGGACATTGGACACAATTACTATTTAAAAAAAATTTTTGGACACAATTCACATATTTTTATAGATTTTTATTTTATTTTAGTTTTGATTATATGAATTTATTATACTTCATTTATGGTTATCACAAAAAGGTTATGTGAGGTGATCAAATACCACCAAAAGAAAGCTCAATTAGTGGGAAGAAGTAACGCAGCGCCGTAACACAAAAAACGACCTGGTCATGAAGGGGGATAAATCCTCAGGAGGGAAAGTGGTTAATATGTGTAAGCTGTGAACAGTGTCAGTTGAACTTAGGCAGAAAGCAGCAGACTTGAATAATGTCATTGCAAGTTAAATAGCTTTAGAATGGAGCTCTCTCACCCGATCTGTGGCACTTATCAGATGGCTGATGGTCTTTCTGTAGAGAAGCCCCCCAGTATTCCAGAAGTTCATCCTTTAGAGATCACCCTAGACCTCCAGTCTCTGGGACAGCTCACCAGACTTGTCAGCGGTCAGCAGCTTCTCCTTCTTACTTTTCTCTCTCTGCAGCCCAGCCTGGCTCGCTCCTCTGGTATCCCGAACGGCCAACTCCTCCAGTGCTGTTCTCCAGCTCTCACCCCTCACTTCCTGCCCTGGGTTCCCAGGCTTCTGTATTTATCTGCCCTCTCCCACACGCCAGCTCCTCTGGGAAATGTAGTTTCTTAGTACTGCAGTCAGTTTACGAATCCCACAAAGCTTTGCAACAGAGCCTGCACAATTGGACTGCAAGACACTGTCATCTTGTGTCTGTTTAACATCCTGCAAGCAGAATGTATCACAGTAGGGTGTTACACACTTAAAATGGATCTCAAGTGCAAATAACTCAATTTCTTTACAGGGTTGTTTCAAGAAGAAGAGGACAAGACATACTGTAAAAGGGAGGAGACAGAAGAAACTTTGGGTTTACTTTGTATCTGTAAAATGAGCAATTATATCTAATCATTTGTAAAAAAAAATTATTTATTTACTATTCAGATGTGATGGTGAATGGGTAAAGGGTCCCAAGGGCTTCTTATGTAGATCACTGGAAAGGGAGTAGAAACTTAGACAGCTGAGTTTCAAAGGACTCCCTCCACATATTACATTAAGCTTCTCTTCAACAGTGTACTTACTAGTTCACTGGTCAGAGTGTAGAAAGTCGGGCAAGGGGATTGCACATAACTCCCATCCCAATATTATCTGCAATAATGCTACAGGATTGTCTTTACTAGATCACTGGGGAAGAAGTAGAAAAGCTGTCAGGTCAGCTGCTGATACTCCCATTACCCACATTATCAGCAAAACCTTTTCCCCCCTTCCTCCTCATAGCAATGTGGAAGAGGCTACATTTTTTTTATTTCTTTTGAAGCACCTGCCTGGTGTTGAGGGACCTACTGGCTAGAAGTATGATGTGGGAACCTCCACGCACAGTGATATGTTCAATGTGGAATAGGCAACATTTGTTTGGATCTCTTTTGAAGCACCTGCATGATGCTGAGAAACCTACAGGCTAGAAGGTCAATGTACGAGCCTCCACACTTGGTGATATGTGCAGTGTGGAAGAGGCTACATTTTTTGGATCTCTTTTAAAGCACCTGCCGGATACTGAGGAACCAATGGGCTAGGCGTATGATGTAATAGCCTCCATTATTATTATTATTGTAGAAGATTTATATAGCGCCACCAGTTTGCTCAGCACTTTGCAATGTAACGGGAGACAATACAGCAACAATACAGTTTAATACAAGAGGGTTAGGAGGGCCCTGCTACTTGGAGCTTACAATCTAGAGACTAAGAGCCTCCATCCACGGTGATAAGAGTAACATGGAAAGGCTAAATTTTTTGATCTCTTTTGAAGCACCTGTCTGATGCCATGGAATGTATAGGGTAAAAGCATGATGTATGAGTTCCATCTATGGAGATATAAGCAATGTGGAAAAGGCTAAATGTTTTTTCGGATCTCTTTTGAAGCACCTGCTTGGTATTGAGGGACTTACAGACTAGAAGTATGATGTAGAAACCTACATGCACAGGGTATGTTCAATGTGGAAAAGACTATATGTGTTTGGATCTCTTTTGAAGCACCTTCCTGAGGCTGAGCAATGTACAGGCTAGAAGGTTGATGTAGAAGCCTCCACCCTCGGTGATATGTGCAATGTGGAAGAGGCTAAATTGTTTTGGATCTCTTTGAAGCACCTGTTTGATGCTGAGAAACCAACAGGCTAGAAATATGATGTAGGGCCCCCACCCATGGTGATACCAGCCATATGCCTGTTGTCTTAGACTAGTATATGTTATGAGGGGCATGATTTTCTGTTTTCTGGCAGAAAGATCTGGCACTGACAGGTGTAATTAATTATGCTTGTGTGCATGAGTGGTGTTGATAGGCAGTTGTGAAGCTGTAAAAACATGACCCAGTCGCCTGTTTTCCATGCCCGTGAGAACAAGGCCTACCGTTTAAACATTGAAAACAACAGACAAAAGCATACAGTGCTAACCTTGCCAACCCCTCAAGCATAGAGAAGCCGTATAAATATTTTTTGGTAAAGTAAAACTAAAGGAAAAAATGTTTTTTTCATTTTGGAATGTGTAAGGGAAGGTTCCCGTGTCCCATTGCCAAGATTTCTATTCACTTTTTTTTTACATAGCCAGAGCTGAGAGTGAGAGGAAATTCCTTCAAACTGAGTGAATCCCTGCTTGTCACCTCAACTGTTGTCCCCATCAGAGGCATCGCTAGGGTTGGTGTCACCCGGTGCGGTACCACTTGGTGACACCCCCTCTGACGATCCCTGCAGAATGGATCGGATCTTCGGATTGAGCATAATGGATTGGACTCCGATCCATTATGCTCAATCCGCAGATCCTAGCCATCCTGCGGGGATTGTCAGCTTTCTTTACAACATACCTTTTCTTGGATAGATATGTCCCCCCTGAAGCAACTGTGCATGTCCCGGTTTCAGGCATGATCAGTCGATGATAGCAGTAGTTTTATCATTGATTGATCATACCTGAAACCGGGACATGCGCAGTTGCTTCAGGGGGGACATCTACATGGGAGACACACCTAGCTGCTACACGGTGTCACCCCAAATAGGTTGCATGCCGACGATCCCTGCAGGATCGTCGGCATGCAACCTATACGCGGTGACACTGGACTCGCTCCAAGAAAAGGTAAGATTTAAAGAAGCGAACGATCCCCACAGGATGGATCCGATCAGTGTCACCCGGTGCGGACCGCAGCCCCCGCACCTGCCTCGGGATGCCACTGGTCCCCATTGAAAGATTTTTTCCCCCTGTTCCTGTTCTGGTGACAACTTAAAATTTGAGATTTTCTTTCCCTCTTGGTGATAACAGTAAACAGGACAAACAGAGAGGGCACAGGCAGTAATAAAACTATGATAGGAGATCTAATACCTCTGGACTTTATACAAAACTTTTAAAAAGTGCTTTTATTATAGTTTAAATATTTGGTAGTAACACAAGACCAGGTCTCTCTTGTTCAGGAAGTGGATACGATTTTTTATTTAGTGTTACATGTTAAGCAATGAGATCAGTAGCAGTTATTTGATTAATGTCTTGTTGCACAACTCTGTGTCCTAAATATAGGAAATAGCTTCTTGTTATTTTTTAACTGTCACATCCATTTCTGGTTATTCTGTTTTAGGAAATTGCTGTACAAGCCCATCAAGCTTTCCATAATTAAAATAATGTCCTCAGATGCTCTGAGCCAGTTTTGGTAATCTCAGTGCCTGTTCATAGGATCAAAAATCTTCTTCAAACCTTAGTGACTCTAGTTTGCCTGACAGAAACATGTCATGTCACAATAATATTCATGGTATATGAAGCACATGAGAATCCTACTTATTCAGATTCCAGAATCCAGATCTAAAGGTGGGCAGTTTCACAGCCTTCCATACTCTCATCATTATTCTGGTTGGCCATATGGTCAGTATCTACTGCCCAGGGGTGGACTGACAACTCATGGGGACCCCGGGCAATAGGGGATCATGGGGCCCCTGTGTCCTTGCCCAAACTCAAAAAAGCCTATGAAAAAGGTACCAGTGGCATCTCATGGGGCCCCCTACTGACCCCGGGCCCTCGGGCAGTGCCCGGGTTTCCAAATGTTCAGTCCGCCCCTGCTACTGCCCTCTTTGTTCTGTAGTCATTTAGAATAAACTTGCAGACAAGCAATGATCATGGTTTGTTGCATTAAAAGTGCATTAAAAGCAATCTTTTCAAAAATTGTAAAACACAACAACAGTAGAAATTAATAATGCACATAACGTACACCTACACTATATTGTCAAAAGTATTGGGACACCTCTCCAAAGCACTGGATTCAGATATTCCAATACACAGGTGTATAAAATCAAGCATCTAGGCATGCAGACTGCTTCTACAAACATTTGTGAAAGATGTTTTGCTCTCGGGAGCTCAGTGAATTCAAGCGTGGAACCGTGGTAGGTTGCCACCTGTGCAATAAGTCCATCTGAGAAATTTTCTTGCTACTAAATATTCCACAGTCAACTCTTAGTGGTAGTATAACAAAGTGGAAGCAACTGGGAACAACAGCAACTCAGCCACGAAGTGATAGGCCATGTAAAATGACAGAGCAGGGTTAGCGCATGCTGAAGCGCACAGTGCACAGAAGTAGCCAACTGTTTGCACAGTCAATAGTTAAAGACCTCCAAACTTCTTGTCGCCTTCAAATTAGCACAACAACAGTGCGTAGAGAGCTTCACAGAATGGGTTTTTATGGCCGAGCAGCTGTATACAAGCCTTATATCACCAAATGCAATGCAAAGCATCGGATGCAGTGGTGTAAATCATGCCGCCAACGGACTCTAGAGTAGTGGAGACGTGTTCTCTGGAGTGACCAATCACGCTTCTCTGTCTGGCAATCCGCTGGATGTATCTGAGTTTGCGGTTGCCATGAGAACGGTACTTGCTTGACTGCATTGTGCCAAATGTAAAGTTTGGTGGAGGGGGGATTATGGTGTGGGGTTGTTTTTCAGGAGTTGGGCTTGGCCCCTTAGTTCCAGTGAAGGGAACTCTTAAGGCATCAGCATACCAAGACATTTTGGACAATTTTATGCTCCCAACTTTGTGGGAACAGTTTGGGGATTGCCCTTTCTTGTTCCAACATAATAGTGCACAAAGCAAGGTCCATAAAGACATGCATGAGCAAGTTTGGGGGGGAGGAACTTGAATGGTCTGCACAGAGTCCTGACCTCAGGCCGATAGAACACCTTTGGGATGACTTAGAGCAGAGACTGCGAGCCAGGCCTTCTTGTCCTGTGCTCACAAATGCGCTTCTGGAAGAATGGTCAAACATTCCCATGGACACACTCCTAAACCTTGTGGACATCCTTCCCAGAAGAGTTCAAACTGTTATAGCTGCAAAGGGTGGGCCAACTCAATATTGAACCCTACGGACTAAGGCAGGTGTCCCAATATTTTTGGCAATATAGTGTATAAACTATATACATATACACAGTTCTGTGCAAAAGTTATAGACAGTTGTGAAAAAATGTTGTAAATTAAAGTGTTACTAAACCCAGTACCCTGCATTCACTGTGTATGGTCTCCCAAAGTATACAGAACAAGGAAATTCAATTATTGTAGGACATATAAACTGCTAATAACCTTTTCTCATCAGCAATTAGAGCAGCCTTGTGACTTCTATCAGTTTCCAGCACAGCACTGGTTAAAGCTTGTAGGAGGAGTTTTCATTTTCCCATGATTGTCCTATGAGGCTGAAGGACCCCTGACCCTCTGGTGCTGATTGGCCCTGTGCTGATAACATACACTCTCCCCCTCCAGAAAAAAACTCTAGCAGTACACACCAAACAGCATGTGCAGCTTGCCCCCAAGGCTTTTTTCTGTCAGCAGCTGGATTGGGGACTGTGGAAGAAGAGAAGGATCAGAGAATACAGAATCAAACAGCCTTTTTACACAATGCATATAATTAACCCCTAAGGTTTCATAGTGAGTATAACAAGCATGCTTTACTGCATATACAGACTGATTTTACTGTTGTGTGTTTATGCTTTTAGAAATACTGTATCAATAAACAAAATCTAAAGTAAATGAACAGAAAAAAATTCCAAATCAAATCAATATTTTGTGTGACTGCCCATTTGCTTCAAACCAGCATGCATTATTCTAGGTACATACAGTGCGTGTGCATGTTTTTTGAAGGAACTCGTTTCAAACATCTTGGAGAACTAACTACAGATCTTCCATGGACAAAGGCTGCCTCAAATCCTTCCTTCTCTTTATATAATCCCAGACAAACTCATTGATGTTGAGATCAGGGCTCTGTGGAAGCAAAACCATCACTTCTAGGACTCCTTGTTCTTTAAACTGAATATAGTTTTTAATTCCATTGGTTACAAGTTTGGGGTTATTGTCCTACTGCAGAATAAATTTGAGGCCAGTCACATGCCTCCCTGATGGCACAGCATGATGGATAAGTATTCGCCTGTATTTCTCATTGAGGATACCATTGATCGGGCAGCGATGAGGATCGTAGATGCATTGGTTGGTCACTGAAACTTAATGCAGAAGATGAAAGACACATCATGCTTACTTCTCTTTGAAATCAGAAGACGTCCAGCAGCACCATCAGGACAGAACTAGGAGCAACCAGTAGGACCTAGGTACACCCATCTACTATCTGGAGAAGTCTGTACAGAAGTGGTCTTCATTGAAGAATAGCGGCCAAAAAAGCCATACCTCGTACATGAAAACAAGGCTAAGCAACTCAATAAAGCATGGAAACATCCAAACTGGGGTGCAGAAAAATGGCAGCATGTGCTCTAGACAAGGGGTCTCCAAACTTTTGAACAAAGGGCCAGTTTACTGGTTTACTTTAGGGGGGGCTAGATTGTGGTCAATGGGAGTAAACAATACCCTAGGCTTTGTGGTCAGTAGGAGGAACAGTGATCCATCGTTGGTGTCAGTGGGATAATTAGTTCTCCATTTCTGGTATCAGTGGGAGGAACAGTGTTTCGTCGCTGGTGCCAATGGGAGGAACAGTACCCCATCACTGGTGTCAGTGGGAGGAACACTGGCCATTTGTTAGGGTCAGTGGGACTAACAGTGTTCCATCACTGGTGTCAGTGGGAGGAACAGTGCCCTGTTGTTGGGGTCAATGGGAGGAACAGTGCCCCATCATTGGTGTCAGTGGGAGGAATAGCACCCAATCGTTGGAGTCAGTGGGAGGAATAGCACCCAATCGTTGGTGTCAGTGGGAGGAATAAACCCCATTGTTGGTGTCAGTGGGAGAAATAGTGCCCCATTGTTGGTGTCAGTGGGAGGAATAGCACCCCATCATTTGTGTCAGCAGGAGGAATAGCGCCCCATCATTGGTGTCAATGGGAGGAATAATGCTTCTAATCAGTGGAAGGAAATGTGCCCCAAGGCCCGGATAAAAGCAAGCAAAGGGCCACATCTAGCCCGCGGACCGCAGTTTGGACACCCCTGCTCTAAACTGATGAGTCAAAAAGTGAAATATTTGGCTGCAGCTGGAGACAGTTTGTTCACCGAAGAGCTGAAAAGTGATACAATAATGAGTGCCTGTAGGCAACATTGAAGCATGGTGGAAGTTCCCTGAAAGTTTGAGGCTGCATTTGTAAAAATAGAGTTGGAGATTTTGGCAGGATCAATGGCGTCCTTAATAATGAAAGATGCAGGCAAATACTTATTCATCATGCCATACCATCAGGGTGGCATGAGATTGACTCCAAATTTATTCTGCAGGAGGACAACGACTGTCATTATTTGTTCCACCGCAGGCATCATACTAGAAGGTATTAGATCACATGTTTGATGGATCCACCTGTAACTATATTAAAAATAGATCTTCTGCTCAAAAATTGTAGATTACACTTTCCCATCACAATGCCTCTTGTAAGGGTATGTTACTCTACATCTCCCCGTTACACGTAATAGCAAAAACCTTGCATTCTCACAACACTGAGGTTTTCACTGATAGGTCCAGTCCCCATCAATACTGTGAAAGTCAGTTACAAGTACAGTATTAAAAAAAGTCTAATTAATAAAATATATATTTGTGTATTTGTCAGCCAAAAATAAACAGCAGAGCAGAGATAAAGGTTTTATTTAACAGAGTACCACATAAAAGTGCTATACATAAACTGAATTAGGTATGATAAATTTTCAGAGCTACAGTCAAGTTAAAACATTGATGATGTTACTATGAATGTAGCCATGGCATTTAGTCTTCAAGGACCTTTGATAACAAAACGGATTATGGTTTTTATTAAGCTGTTGCTTGCATGGAATGGTCATGTTGTGGTGTCAGATGGCTACTGCTTCTGCCACCTTGCACCACTTTTACATTGTGAAAACCCTACCTTCATATTTCAGGGCAAGAGCTGTTTTCAGAAAGATCATTTGATATGGTGTAAGGCTTACATGCACAGCCAATACTTCAAGGCTAATTTATGAATAAATCACAGTTTCATAGTTAGCTTTGCTATAGAGTAGACAGTCCATGGTCATGGTAACCAGTGAATAATTTTGTTAAAATCCTTTAGAGTTTCTTACTTTTTCCCTAGTAGAGAGGGTAGCTTTATTCACACAGTAGATTTTGAAAAAAAAAGTGACAGCTATGTTGCTTTTTCCATTTTTCTCATTGGCATTATGTTGGGATTTTTCATCTCTTTGTTGAAGAGTTTCTGTCACAAAAATACTTGTGTGATTAGACTGCAATGGATCAGTCATTACCTTGAAACATATATGGGCCACATGAATGGAATGTGGGGGAATGGCTGCTTCCAAAAGATCCTTATCATATGTGTGTTTCACTTTGATGATGAACTAAGTGCAGCTACTTGTAATAACCAATCAGGTGTTACTTTACTGTAGTCAGTTCCATTGTGCTTTCTTGTTGTTGCTTCAAAGAACTGTACTAGTCATCTTTTATTCACTTTACTCTTGCTTGCAAAAGTTTACTTGTCAAATAGAGAAAAAAGGTATGATATAGTTTGTGTTCTAAATACTGTAAGTAATACTACTTCTTCAAAATGGGTTCACTCAACAGCTTAGGCAACTACTGTCATTCTTTCTGAAAATATTACATACAAAACATGAGTTCACCATCCAGCATGATGGAAAAATAGGATT